GGAAAGGACAGAGGCGCGATTACGCATGGCATCTGATAAATCTCGGAGCGACAACATTCTGCCCCTCGCGTAAGCCGCTAACGAAACAACAGCGAAGAACGGAATACTCACGGAAGGGCACAGATACGCAACAATGGACAGTATGCGTCCAACGCACGCAGTACGGTGAGTGGCAGTGAATCATGCTCACCATACCAAGCCAATGAACGGAGCTGGCGTAAAAATGGGATCGCCATAACCATGAAATGTTCTATGCATTGCAACGTGAGTGATGCTCAGACATACGAGCAACAAATACTATCGGCGCACCTATGTGTGAGACACTAAGGCGACGAGTAGGTAGTATCAGAACGCGCAGACTTCTGACCATCGCGGCGAAGAATGGGTCGGTCTGTATGCGGGCGACGAGAGCAGCTACCTTAGCTGCGCGCTCCTCCTCTAGCCTGAAGGCTTGTTCGGCAGCCGCATCAACTGGAGCTAGACCGAGGAATATAGTGTAAGACACTCGTTGGTCAACGCCGAATACAACGGCGATGTTGGCGAAGGCCATGGGCATCGCGAGGCTGTTGAAACCATGCGAGACGAGGCGGCACGTACACGCGTCTGCTGTCGAGAGGCAAGACAAGGCTTGTAGCCACACTTCCGGAGGAAGTGCGTAAGAGTAAGGCCGTAACATGATTGACGATGTGGACGAGCAGATGATGGAATTTGAACCTGAGCGGGTGATAAGCGTCGGACGCTTTATCTCCGCCACGAGCGCGTCGCGCGACGGCCATGAGGCTCACTCACTCACGGATTCGTCGAGTCGTTCCGGGAATCTCGAAGTTACTTACATCCATGATCCATCGCCGTATCGGATTGATGTCTCAACAATGTGTTAACGGATCTACTATGACATGTTGCCAGTGTAGGTACGTACTGAGAGAACGGCAACCATGCGCGAGCGATTACGCTTCCAAAGTCCGGTACGCGTAGGGGACCTCCTGGACCTCTTCAGACTCTGTTCAAGAATCGATGTCTTGTACATCCACACGTATACCTAGCGCGGGCCGGAGTACAGTGGCACTGAATCAAGCTTCTTCATCTCCTACTCCCTCACCCCACCTCCACCACTCCAGCTCCTGGACCAATAACACACCTGGTTTGCACACACGTCGACGACGTCGTTTCGTCACACACTACAACCTCCAATAGCGCATCTCTTCTGGGTGTCTATTCCTCGACGTGAACGCGAGAGCTACGGGATTCGTATCAACCCGTCTGCTAGCGGGCCTGACGCCTAGCGATGTGGGACGAGGTGAGTAGGCAGAATGCAGTGACAAACACGTCTACTTGCGCATAGTCTCCGTCTCCAGCTCACGGGTCCGACACAGTTCTAACCAAGGCAGACGGTACGGTGAGGCATCAAAACGAGCGGCAAGTCTTCTCAGACACAGATACAACGAGGTTGCTGTCGCGGACACAATCGCGCAATACTGAGCGATATACTGAGGACGGTTCTCCTTGACGTAGCCTAGCCATCTTCGGTGGGTAAGACGAAGGAGCATACGAACGAACGTATTCCCTGTACGAAGGTGTTGTCAGTGATAAACATAGGTCTCCATGAGGATATGCCAAACATACAGGCGGGCACGACTGGGAGTTCTTCGTCGGCATTCAAGCTACTCGTCCTCGCAACTCGCAAGTCATCTCCGTTGTGGATGAGACGGTGCACATGGTAACACTGCACGTTAAACCCATTTTCAGGAAGCCGCAGCCGCTTCCCATCCCTATATACGACGAGCGATGTTACGTTGAACCGAACATATCACCCACGCACTGCGGACGTCGTGAGGGCAATATCCAAGCTGGCAGCCGTGGTCGTAGGAGAAACAAGACGGCCGCATCGATACATAAAGCAGACGACCACCAGTCGCTGTCGCTGTTCAAATTTACTCCATGACTGGAAGTGTGCTTCCACCGACTGCGCAGCATGTTACGCGTTCCGGTCTCAACGTCATAAGCTCGACTGCTCTTGGCCGTCCGTGGAGACTTGTAAGAACGTTGTCAAATAGCATGTTCCGGTGGACCCGGTGGGGCGAGCCCTGTGGTACATGTTGACCTCGGCTTCTGTCGAACACATATGGCGACGCGACGCATAGCGACCGCATACATACGACGCAGTCCGATCCCTGGGTGACCTACGACCGGCGAACCGAAGATTCGCTCGATGATGGACGACCTGTGCATACCAACCTCGTTGCAAACCCCAGTAACGTGCGAGATGATACAGGCAGCGTACCAGTGGATCTAGTGCGCAAATCCGTGTGTATCGACCGTGTCTGTTCACGGACACACGAACACTGGGATAATGGTTTCCCGCGTGGACGACTGCGGCGTCGATGTGTCCTTTTCGTCATTGCGTCCGAGTCGTCCTCGGTGCCCAGATAAGCACTTCTTAGCACACAGTTTTGTTTGCCCTGTCTGCTCTGAACGCCTCTCAGCTGACAGCCTTCGATGATTCGGGTACAGCACACAACGGAAGAGAGGTGGTTCGTGGTTCGAACGAAGCGAGTGACCTATCCGTAAAGCGCGAATTGTGATTCGCTAACCCAGATTTCACACTCCGAAATGCTACTATCAGACTTTGATTAGACTATTGCTTTTGTAATCCCACAATACATCGCTCAGCCAACTACTGGCGGCCCCCCCCAGTCCATCTTACCAGCCTGCAGATGATGTCGAGGATAATATTGTCTGTGGCGAGCCGCCAAGACTGTAGCCCACTCTGATTCGGACTGGTGGCACCTATTTCAGGGTTCAAAACAAGCTGGTGCAGACCTCGACGAGTGAGTACGCCTCCTACTCAGGACAATAATGAGATGGTGTATGCCGACGTAGAACGGTCGTAGAACGTGTCTATCAAAAGGTATATTGAGGATATCAAAAGACAGCTCATTCTGATCCCGGAGTTCCGAGACCAGCAAGCGCGTATGTGCCACCGGGTGACCGGATAGTACTTAGTGTCTCAAAACCGACATCTGTGAGCTCAATTTTGGTCGGGTGTCATGATCTGTGAACGTTAACCATGCTCTCTGTACATATAAGGGACGTCGCCAGAGTGCGAGTAAAACTTGCGATCGTGCCGTTGTGTCGCAGCAATGCGATTGTCGGCCGTTAACGCGTTGCGACATCATATCACTTGCGGAGCGCCCCCTCGAACTCGCAGTCGGTCAGTTGACATCACCATCACTGGCATGAGGTCCTGCGTTGCCCTGTCCCATGACTACAATGTCCCTCAATCAGAAATCCGCCCTCGTATATGGGGCGCTATGGGGATGCCCGTATACCGTATCGTTCAAACGTTCCGGATCCTTCGTTCCGTCGGGACCTGTGATAATTGTTTGTGCGGTGATACACAAGGTACGCGACATGGCTGTGGCCCACGTATTTATACGAGCTCGCCTTTGAGGACGGAGACTCGTTTGCCCTCAGGTCCCACCTCCTTTGCATCACCCCTTCGTAGCCCAAAGGAAGGCTGGAGATGGTCGCCACGTCCTCACAGCTACCGGCCGCCGCCATGTCCCCCGAATCCGACAAGGACATCGAGGAGGCGCGCATCGAGGATCCCAACACCGAGGGCACGCGTTTCCAAGCTGCCTTGGGCGAACGCGCACGGCGGAGGCAGTTCTTCTCTCGTCTGGACACTGAAGTCGCGGACGCCGTGAACAAGGATGCGGAGACGGTAGAGTTCACGGCGGACGAGGAGAAGACAGTGCGGAGGAAGATCGACCGACGGGTCCTGTCGCTGGTTATCGGGAGGTCAGTCCCATTCGCAATCCTGAGTCGATATGCACCAAATGTTGACGCGCATGGACCGAAGTTATCTCTGTACGTGACCGAGAAGCCTCAGGGACATGCTCCCTATACTGATTTCTATTTCTGTGTGTTCTCGAAATAGTCAACCAATTCGGTAAGGCGCAGCTCATATGCCGGTTTAACTCGTATTCACTATTGTCTTACCAGATCGTACTAATATGTACGCACCCTCGATCAGAGTCCGGAGCGACTTCTGTGACTGATGATCTATCCAGCGGAAACGTCCACACTGTGGCAGCATTCAATGAGAACTATGTGTGTGTCGCCTTGTTGCTATCGTACTCTTCACTGAGTATGACTTTCGTAGGGCGTCACGAACAACAACAAATGGACCCTCGCGTTGAGCGTCTTCTACATCGGATACTGTGCGTTTCTGGCCCACTACCGCTGTATCAGGACGACGTAGCTCATGCCGAGCTTCTAGGCCTGCTTGAGATGCCTGCCAACGGTACGTTCGGACACGAAGCGATGCGACCTCCGGCTAACGGTTCAGTCCAGTGCTACAACGCCGAATCGGCGCCAACAGGTTCTTCTTCATGTCACTTACCTGGTGGGGCCTGTCTTCGCTATCGTTCGTGTATGCGAAGAGCTACACCGGGTTGTTGATTCTGCGGTACGTCATCTTAGTACTGCATGATCGGACGCGCGGAATCTTATCGAGATCATACGTAGGGTCCTCCTTGGCATCGGCGAGGCGGGATACTACGCGGGCATGGTGTACTACCTTTCCTTTTGGTATAAACGGTGCGCCTTCCTTCGATGTTGTCTCTCGTGCCTGACTGATGATTCCCTGCGAAGACACGAACTCGCTATGCGGATCAGGTAGGAATCACATGTCGAAGAGAGTCAACAGCACGACTCAAGCATCCTTGATGCAGTATCTGTATGACCGGCACATACCCAGGCGCCATTAGCGTATGAACATGCATTAGTAGGGTTGAAGCCGCATAGCTGACGCTGCTCTCGCAGGGCTTGATCGCCTTCGGCCTGCTCCGAGTGCACACGTCGGTTCTGAAAGGATGGCAATTCCTCTTCCTCGTGAGTACTCTCATGAGTCGGTCTGGCGGGTCATCATCTGACACCGCTGTGAAGCTCGAGGCCATCCCGACCATCATCATGGCATCCCTGTTGCTGGTGTTCCTCCCTTCGTTCCCGTTCACCGCCTCGTTCTTGACGCCCCGCCAGAGAGCGATCGCTCAGGCAAGTTCATAGCAGCCTTGTAGCCACGCGTCACTTCAATTGACTTCGCTCCGTAGGCACGCCTGAACCGAGACCAGAAACCGACGTCGCACGGGGGCATGGGCGCCTTCCGCGCATTCACCCTCGTCGTGTCTGACCTCAACGCATGGCTCCTCATGGTCATCTACTGCGGGTGTACGTCTTGCCGAATATCTCCGTATACGTCTGGTCTGAACGAAACATTTTTCAGTCAATGTTGGCACTGCGACGATCACATACTTCCTGCCTACGGCATGTGTTCTCCTAGCAGAGATGATCAGTTGGTTAACTAACGCTGGTCAAACAGCTCATCGTCGAGCTCGGATTCAGCGGTATCGACGCCCAGGGCATGACAGTCGCACCGTACTTCGCAGGGTGGTTCCTCGTGGTCTTCCAGGCGTGGCACTCGGTTTGTAATCTCACTATTTCACCGTTCGCTTTTGATGAACCTTGTCATCTGTAGGATCGTACGCGCGATCGTGGCTGGCACGTCATGCTGTCCACGGCGATCGCATTCATCGGCTACCTCATTCTTGCCACGAGTGTGCAGAAGAGCGTCGGCGCGGGCTACTTCGCATTGTTCCTCGTTGTTGGCGGGAACTTCAGTCTGTTCCCATTGGTGATGTGCGTTTCGGTTTTGGGTCGCATGAAAACAGCACGCTGATATCCACTCTGCCTGTGCAGGAGCTGGGCAGCGAACTGTTTCTCGCCGACTCCCAAGCGTGGTGTGGGCACCGCGTTCATCGTGTCCATCGCGAACTGCATCTCCATGTCAGTCCACTTTGTCGCCGCTTCGCCGCTCGTATGCATTCTGAAGCGCTATGGCGTTTAGTGCGGCGCCGCAGATCTACTTCGACAACAACGACGACTACCGAAAAGGCCATGCAATCTCCGCAGGGTGAGCCCGATCTATTGCTGTTGTTCTCCGCGACGCTAAAACTGCTGCCGGGACGGAACAGGTGTCTATTTGCATCCATGCTCGCAGCGTTCATCCTCCGCACGCGGCTGGCACGCAAGAACAAGAAGAACGGAGTGCGCCTCCAGGCCATGACCCAGGACGAGAAGACGGAGTTGTCGGAGGAGCCGGAGATCGCGGACACGGATCCGCGGTATGTATTCATGGTGTAAGACGGAGAGCCGGCAGGACGCTAGGGCACAAGATTACGAAGACATCCTTTCACGATCATGTTGTTGTACATTAGAGTCCTTTGCACGATATGCATGAGCTGTACTTCCTAGATGCATGACTCGGGTGCATGGTTTGTACATGTGAGAACAGTTGAAGGCAAGCCGTCGATATGATGACAACTGCGATATTATGACAGTCGCTCAATAGAAGCGGTACGCATTCGGTTACGGTGCACTCAAACTGTGCAGACAAGTACTGTCTATAGCGAGACCTGGTAATGCATTACTAGGGTGCGATCATTGGGATACGGATTCGTGTATAGGAACGCTAGCTGTGTTTATAGAAACTGACGCTCGAGCAGCAAGAGCCTTCGATGACACCCAAGAGTAACGAATACGTTGTAGTGTGCATGTCCAGGTCACTGCTGCGATGTCGATTGGAAGCACAGCCGTCATATGTCCAACACCGCTTTGATTCGTAGCTCGAGGCTAGGAGATAGCCCGTCCTTGCCACGTATCTTCGGCTTGACAGTGTTGCTTCCGACCCGATAGAAGTCGTAGTCGACCCCCGCGTGTTCGAAGTGAAAGTACCGCACCAGAGTTGCGATCAGTATCTGTACAAGAAATCAGCGTGACATCCCGGAAAGGAGAGAACAGTGCTGACTGACCTTGAACTCCGCTAGTGCTGGTGATTGCCATTAAGTGTCAATGAGAGAACGCGCGCAGTTTTTTCACCTACCAAAGTGACGTCCGACACAGATCTTTGGTCTAGGAGTAAGGCTTGCATCAACATCGCACTTCCAGGCGGATATACGTTGACAACGTACCCATCCCCAAATGATAGCACATGCCCAGGAGCACGGACTGTCTTGACGCTCTCCGGCAGCCTCTTTCCGTTGTCTAGCCATCGTTCCGGTCTGAACACTTCTGAATCGGGTCCCCATATATCAGGATCGTTGTTGATGCCGCCACGTATGGGGATGTGGACGAGTTGCCCTGGCTTAACAACGACATGCGTAGCCCCCGTCGATCGGACGGGAAACTGCAAAGGGATACTCTCCTCGACTGTCGCCTCCCGTGTAAGGTTCATTACGATTGAATACGTGCGCATAGTTTCGCGTGCGACGGCGTCCAGGTACAGCAACTGCGTAGCACTCGCAAGATCATCATAGGTCGGGTCTCTGCCCGTGACATCTGCAAACGAGACGAGTTCTGCTCGAAGCTTGGACTGTATAGCAGGCTGGAGCGCGAGTTCGTGCAAGCATTCCTGCGATTCGAGACTGTCAGTTAACATAAAAGTAACATTGATGAAGCGTCATCATACCCTATTGCACTAGCAGTCGTTTCATAACCTGCGAAAATGACGGCTAGGATCTAACAAAATGGCGTCAGCACGTAAGAACATTGATGAATCTACTCCATCACGTACATTCGCGATGGCCAGATCTCGGTCCATTGGCTTCCCAGATAGGACCTTGCTGTTGTCTATCCGACATCGAAGGATCCTATTAGTACCTTCCTCTGCAAAAACATCATATGAGCAGAGCAACACGTACTCATGGCTTCCAGCAACTTGGAATGCATTCCATCACTTCTCATGCACTCGATCTCGCTGTCCTTCCACACCCTGTCAGCAACCTTGCCCAGTTCCGCCTTCATAATGCGCGGCCAGCGCTTGATTGGGATAGGTAATTTCCAGAGTACTGGGAATGCCTCGACGAACGATTCCGCAACAAGTGCAGCGTTCGTTAGAGGGAGATTGGCAATCTTGGCGAGCAGGGAGGAAAGAGACGCATTGTCGGAGATCGCATAAGAGAACGTCGTCATGCTGATGGCGTCAATTCTAGCATCAGGAAAACCCTACTTTCGGAATAACAACGAATGATGTATTATTACTGCGAAAAATGAGTAATTGTAGCCATTCTTTTGTTCGTTGTAGTAGTGCTTTATTCGCTATGGTCCGGAGGTCGACCTACGAATAACAGGATATTGTGCTGAATACAGTCGTGTTAGGGGCAGGGTTCCTCACTATTAGATGAATCATTGTCTTTATTCTTAATGTTCGCAGTGCATTCCACACAGACGCATAGGTGCGAAAAAACATGAGATGCATAATAATGTACTGACAGCGATCCAATACGATACAAACACAGCCAACATGACTCATTGGTAGAGCTACTCGTGATATATACTACTCGTAATCAATCCCTATTGTACTCCTACCTGCATGCATACAGGACCACCAGAGCAGGTACGACTTTTGCGCGGGTGTGGACTAGCGAGCGGGCGAGCAGATGCGCGAGCAAGAGTACGAGCGAGAGGGTGTCGAGCGAGAGGGTTGTCGAGCGAGAGGGTGTCGAGCGAGAGGGTGTCGAGCGAGAGGGTGTCGAGCGAGAGGGTGTCGAGCGAGAGGGTGTGCCAGTGAGAGGGCGTGCGTGCGCCAGCGAGAGGGCGCACAGGCGAGAGGGTGAGTAGACGAGAGATTGCACGGGCGAGAGGTCGCGCGAGCGAGAGGTTGCGCAGGCGAGATGATGCAGGGGCATGTGAGAGCAGGTGATCAGGCGAGAGCCAGTGGGTGAGCCAGAGAACCGACAAGCCACCGAGTGAACAGGTGAAACCAGAGATAGGCGAGCGCACGGGCGGGCGAGAGGGTGAGTGTATGAGAAATCGAGCCATTGAGACGACACTAGTGGTCGAGAGTGAGGTCGAAAGGACGCACGAGAGCGAGACAGGGAGGCAACGAGAAGCCGAGAGAGTGAGCATGCAAGAGGGCGGAAGGCTGAAAGCACAAGTATGCAGGCGAGGCAGGGCAGGCGAGATGACAGGCCCCATTGGCTGAGTAGGGCGGAGAGAGTCGGATGCGAGAGCGAGTGTGCAAGAAGGGGCGACTCTGACCAATGACCAGACGGGCGGCGGCGTGACAGATGGCAGGCAGGGGCAGGCGAGCATGCAAGAGGGCAGATGGGTGGACAAGCTTGGAGGTAACACGCTTGTAGGTAGGCGAGAGAGAGCAACTGACCGCCAGGTCGACGCGCAAGTGCGTCCGAGTCGCGGCTTGTGAGCGAACGAGAAGGGTAGTAAGTACAGCGAACATACCGTTGAGCCTTCCCACACTCTTCCTAAAGTGCTCGTGCTTGTGTTTCTTTGCCTTCTACCCTTGCCTCTTCGTTCCACTTTTGTCGCGCTGGGCGGCCGCGCAATCCTGTCGCTCAGAACCGGTCCTTCATGCGCAGTACGTGAGTTCGAGCCCGCATGATCGTGCTGCAGCTTACCAGAGCCACGCAAGCGGTGCGTTCGAGTCAAAAGACACGGGGATAGACGGAGAATGGGGAGAGACGGAGAATGGGGAGAGACGGAGAATGGGGAGGGACAGAGAACGGCTTGTTGTCACTGCAACTCATGAGAAGTGCTAAGCGCCTCAGCCACGACACGTCACGCGCGCTCGCAGGACTTCCTCCGGGTCCCCTCCTCCCTCAGTCCCTGTTCGTCACATCTGGTTCGCCCTCGCTTTCCCGCCGCTGACCTCCAGTACACACAAGTGGACCCGTCCGCGGGAGCCTGAGGCGGCACGTACATCGGACCACTAATTGGACCAAGATTGCGTTGTACGCAACTGCAACAAGCCCCAGCGACGCGCTAAGAGCGTCACTGAAGGCTCGCGAAGGGTTAAGATGCAGGGAGGAATGCGGGTTGCGCCCAGCAGGGCCAGCGAGTCAGGTGAGTACCCCACTTTTCACCTTGACTCCGGGAATGCCCACCAAGGACGAGTGGATAGAGCCTAGGTGCACGTTTGCTCAACAAGCACAAGTGCATACGAATACAACGCGCATTAGTACGACAAGGGCCAGCTTGCCGCACACTAATATTATGATGCAGTGCCCAAGCCCGGTACAACGCAGCTCATCGAGCAGGACCGCGATGAGCAACAGTTTGCCGGACACTGAGTGCGGCGTGCAAGGGCCCGCCGAGCAGCAGCCCGACGTGCATAGGCTTATTGAGGATGGGTACGCCACGGCGTCCCCTTACTGGTTTGTCTGCTAACTCGCTCGCTCGTCGACTCGGTAACCCGCTCTCGCCCTCCCTCGCCCTCGCCCTAGCTCGCCCACCCGCTATCCCACTTGCCCGCCGTCTCACACGCCCGCTGCTCCCCTCACCCATTATCGAATCGGCTGTCGCTCGGGGCCCTCGCCCGCCGTCCTGCTCGCCCACCATCTCGCTATCCCGTCGTCCCTCCAAGTACTCGTCTTCCTCTTGGCGCTCGCTTGTTGTCCCTCTCGCTGTCCTGCTTACCCACCATTATGCTCACCCGCCATTCTGCCTGCCTGCTGTCCCGCGCGCCCGCTGTCTTACTTGCCTATGCGGACACTGTACCTGCTGTGGCGGATTTGTACCCGGATGGGTACGTGCATGGGTTGAGCCTAGAGTACGCTTAGGTATACCTGTGCTCGGCCCCAGGCGAATGACTCCTGTGATACCGACTTGTAATGATGTAGTCTAGACCCTTGAGCTCAATACTATGCAGTCCGTCATTTTATAGACAATGTGTGCCCAGTGAGACGAATACATGCATATTATTGCACATGCGAGAAACAAGTACCGACTTCGGAATAATACTCACGAATATGAGAGGCGTGATGCATTGGATTGATAATGGCAAGGTAGTATTGAGTGTTCTGCCGTGTTCCGCGTATTATTGACAATTTTAGAACATTACCACGAATTACGGAAAGAGGGTTTTCCTGATGTACAGCATCAAGTCAGCATCGAATCAACAAAGTGACGGTGGCACGAACGCGAGGCTCTGCAATTCATGGCTGACGTCAAGGGTCAGGCCGGATGAGCCTGCATGGTCAAGCTTGTTTTCCCAGTCTGCCCGTAGCTGGGTCGTATCACGTTGAGTGGAGTGGTAAGCACTTCATACGGATTGACACCGACCTTGTTTGCGAGGTCAATGATAACCTGCGAGACTTCGCGAACGTTGGCGGATCTTTGCCTTCGAGTTCAGACAAATACTCAGCGCATAACAGGGTATAATCCGTACGTGAACGCAGAGTTGAGTACTGTCCTTTGTTGTTTGTGGAAATCGCCTGATTCCGAACAAAGTGAGCATCACAAACAAAGTTAGCGCATCCTGGCCAATGGACGAACCTTCAGCAGTGAAAATTGACTCGCCGAACTGATCGTCATTGCACTTGAGGACGTTGTATAGATAAACAAGACCCTGATACGTACGAACTCCGCCACCATAGCACGGTTCGACTCATTACGAATGTAACTGTAAGACCCGAGTACATGAGAGGCGCCCTTTGGGTCACCCATGACTAGCTCAGTTGTCTGTAATGTGGGTCAGGAGTCATGGAAAACGAGCGACGCGGTATAATGTCGACTTACCCCGAAAGGGCCTCTGACTTTGTACGTTTGCCCATACTTACTTCTCCAGCGGCTGAAGAGACTCCCGGCAGGTGCGCTGTGCAAATCATACCTGTAGCCCAGGATCCAGCTCGACGGTGTTGGGCCTGCAAGCTCAGGGAGCCTTGAGTATGCCTGCCGGAGGTGCCTCGCGAGCACTGTCAGAAAGCAGAGAGCGACCAAGGCAACGGCAGCGCTCATGACTAAAAGGTAGTAGGGTTGTGTGAAGCTTACGGTGTGGTTCGCCAATGATTCCGTTTTATAAGATACACGCACGACTTTTCTCGTCTGCGCTGATGGAGTTTCGTCGAGACTCAATACAGGCCCAACCCGGCTAGGTGGGACAAATTTTGACGCATACGCGTGAATGTGGTCGAGACTAGGAAAGCGGCGTGCCGGCACGCCAAATGGGGACCGACATGATGCGTATGTATTATCCGCTCGGCGTCCAATCATACGTCTGACTTTATTGAGTGGGCTAGAGCGATAGCTTGTGACCAAGTGAGACGTACCCAAGACAAACGCCTTCTATCACCTGGAGTAGTGTGCCGCTTGACTGGAATGTGGCTGCTCTCAGTAGCTCAGCGAAGCGTCGCAAGCTCATTCATCTTCGTTATTCACGACTGTTTCATCAAGGATTGTTTGGGTTTGATCTTGGCCTGACACCGCCGATTCATCTTTTGCGATATCTCGATAGACAAGGTACACACCGGGCCTCCTACGTCAATACCGTATGTAATTGCGGCGGCCATCTCGCCGGGTTTCACAGAAATGGTGCGAGTTCCAGACGGAGCTACGCCGGGCCCGAGACAATGTAGGGTGGATGGGGGATGATGGCCAGGCCCGAGTGAGGTTGCGGTGATACTGAGACAGGCGTTACGAATCCGGTTACCGGTAGTTCATGCATTGAGGATCGTTGAACTCTTGTCTGCGGCTAGGCTACGCTTGTGATTGAAGGAAGCAGCGGTTTCACCCCAGTCATCGTTATTATTGTCTAAGGTGGACGGGTAGATATTCAGTGAAATGCGGCCCTAGAGAAGGGGCTACTAAAACATTAGGACGCGGAATGGCACGGACACTGATTTCATCGTGGACACAACAGTGCCCTGTTCTGAGGTCTGTCACGAGGCACAGTACAGGTGAACAACGTCGTGGTCAGAGAGGCTGAGAAAGAAGAAGGCTATGAACGCACATCGGTCGGACCTCCACCGGGCCTCTATCTCCGTTGTCGCAGCTCAAGTGCAATATATGCACATTAAATGCCATTGGAATGCCGTTTACTGCTCCGGGTAGTGTGAAACGACGGTCGTATGTATGTGGCCGCCCCGTTCGAGATGATCCTGCAAGGGATCTTCGCGCGGTGAGAGCGAATATTCCTAGGACCAAAACGGCCTTACATATGTATGCAAAGAGCTCATAGTCTCCTACTTCCCTCATGACTAGATTCGCTATTTGATGGTGCTACTCTAGCGCGAGCTCAGTCGGATATCGAAGGAAGAGGAATAGAAAGAGGAGGGAGGAGCGGAATTGCACCGACACCGATTGTGCGCGCCCGTTTCGGAGACTCCTCCGTAACTTGTGCTTACATAATCGTCACTACGTTCAACTGATAGTTCCAACCGCACGATGCGCCACTGGTCATGAAACTGCACAATGCGACTCGATGGAGATCCTCGACCCACACTGGAGATATCTTGCAGGATTTGGCTGACATTGCTAATATGGAAAGCCAAAACACGGAGACCCGACAGCGACTCTCACCATGACCACTCCGAGTCGCAAATCCTCGCTGTGTCGCCAACTCGGCTTCAACATTCAAGATAGATCGTGCTCTACACAGGTCTGCGGAAGTTACGGTGTACAAGGCACGGTATCCGCGGACACTATCAGCCACTAAAGCATTCGGTGGCTCGGGTTCGGTCCTGGAACTAGGCGTGCACGGTGAGTATCTCCATATTGGCGGCGCATTCGCTGCATGCCCTCGATCTCATAAATGCAACTGAGGCCTGCCGCTCTTTTGTCGTTAGTTGTCGCTTAGTGAACAGAGTCTATGACGCGGACCATCCCTCAACTCAAGTCGACGCTGCAGAACATCGAAGTCGTGTTCCCGAAGCGACGAAGCTCCTTACGCGGGGAAGGCCCAGGTACTCGATGAACATCGAGAGTTGTCACCCCGTCCCATGCAAGCCCACCAATGGCTTGGACAAGAGGGGCCATCGAGTGCCTCAGGGGTAATGCGGGCTGGGACAATGTATGGAGACAGAATTACAATCCTGTGAGTATTGTGTCCGAGTCATACCTTAATGTTTTGGCTCAGACCACGTATTTGTCCCTTCTCGGGAGTTTCATCCTTGCGACTCCGATGCATTCAATGCTTGGGTTGTCTGCGACCCAGACGTTTGACCCGTGGCATGCGACTACTGAGGTTCTCCCAGTCGCCGGGGGGCAGTAAAGATGGATCTTAGCTTATCTTCCGAGTCGCGGGCACTGTGCCTGATCGATCCTCTCTCGCGTTGACGCGACCGAAAAGAACACAAAAGCCACACAAAAACCCAACCGTGAGGTCGAGCAGTGGTATGCGAGGCCTCTGCGTCTATGAGATGTACGGGGGACTGTACAGTGGTCTAGGTAAGAAGGAGGAGGACGGACAAGACTCCGAACGACGTGGGAGAGCTTCGAAGATGTCGGAGACTGTTCGAAGACGAGTGCTAAGCCTCGAAGGTAGGAGGGAGGGTTTCGACAGACGTGTCGAACGAACGGTGACAAGGAAGGCGAGCGACGGCAGGAGGAGAAGTGTAGAGCCTCTCGGGGCAACTACGAGCTGGCGAACGTACTGGCGAACTGACTGACTGGCTTCGAACGTACTGACTGACTGGCGAACTTGCTGACTTCGAACGTACTGGCTGACTGACGAACCTCGCCGGTGCGAGGTGAGATTGAGAGGGTAAGGGGGTCTCTGAGATTCGAAGGGAACAAGTCCCAGAGTATATACAGGAAAATACGGTCCGAAGACCAAGAGAGCCAAGAGAAATCCAAGAAATGATGAATGAGAGTGATAAGGAAAATAGCCAATCGGAGACTGTCACAACGCTCGACCCGGACCTACTAACACATGAGAGAACCCAACTCGGCCTTCCGCAAGTTCCGAATAACGGGCGACCGTCCCCGAACGGTGAAGGTCATAACCGGAGCCGGTGACAGTCCTCGAAGATATGAGACAGCCGCAGGAGTTTGCCTGGCTTACACGAACATGCCGCACCTCGACCCAACTTCCGAAGCGTATGCTGCCCGCTACTACCGCCTCCTAGAGGTCCTCAAGACCGAGGGACTTGTCGAGCCGCGATACGATGCCAACAGTCCCGGAGAGTGGCTGGCTTGGGCCCACGGAGTCCGTTGGATGATCGTACGTGCCTCCGGACATTGACTATCCTTCGAACCATCGTACCGACCTTCGAACAGCGCTTCTTGTTCGAGTCCCGTAGCCGGGCTATCCTGCTAGCGAACGATACGCTTCCTGCTCCCAGGTCGTTCCCCGAGATTGACGAGTTGATGCGTTACCTTGACGAGGTCTTCCACCGCGATGGCAACCAGGGAGATATCCTAGGTTCGCCCTACCCTACGATCGCCTGGTCCGAGACCTTGGTGCTGCTCGAACAAGTTAACCAGGCCGAGCGTCGTCCTCTCGCGAACCCGCAGTATCAGCGCGAGTCGTTGATCCTGTCCGATTTTCGCCAATTGCCCGACAACCTCGAGTCCATGGGTCGAGCGATTCACAACATCGCAGTCGACCAGCGCCGCACGCACGGCACCCTCGTCGGGTTGCTCGAAAGCCTGCTCGAGCGCGTCAACACTGACCGTGGCTCCGACACCGGTCCGTCTGTTCGTAGGGGTAGAGGTGGAGGTCACGGGTGTGGAGGTCGAGGCCATAGATACGAGAGTTGCCGAGGCCGTCACTAGTTAGTTTGACCTAGCCGTGTACTTGCCCGTAGTCCTACCAATGTAGTGACTCTTCTAAACCGTGTGACTTCGCCGCTAAGGGTCCCGAACATGGACGCTTGAGCTTCGAACATCGGGCGGTTCCCTCGAACGGACGGATAGCGCGTCGAGCATACGGACTTAGTGTACTGTTGTATCGACCGTAAATGGCGTTTTCGGTGAGTAGGTGAGCTAAGGGCTCATCATCTCCCCCTTACTGAGATACTGACCGTCCTCGGTCGGCTCGAACACGCCGGCGCTTGATTTGCGTCCGCGATCATCGAGATGCTTCCGCGCCAGGCCGTCCGAAGGTCTTGTCCAATGGCGAGCACTCGAGAAGCGATTAGCGAACGGCAGGACGTGCCTCGATCACGTTGATCCGAAGAATTAATCCCATTGGACGGGAGGTGAGCGCTTCTTTCCCGTTTTGGACTGGTTCTGATGGGGATGATCCCCGTTGTTTCAGCGCCTCGAATGCGGTAGGTGGACCCACAAAGCTCGAGCACACATATAGCGGGGGGGATCCCAGCCGAACTTCGCTTAATCCCCCGCTTCGCTCGCCCATCTCCTCCTCTGTCCACTCGTCCCATGTCCGCTTCGTCTGCCTCCGCTCCCGCGCCCGTCCCTGATCTCGCCGGCGCGCCTGCGTCGGACGCCGACTACACCGTGGATCCCAAAACCGGCTTCCCCGTCCCGCACGACCCGAAGAGCCCAATGGCTCCGCTCGCCAATTGGGTCGTAGCGCACCTCGTCCCAGAGAACCCCGAGGCGATTGAAGAGTGGATCGAGGGCGCGTTCGCTGCCATGGTAAGTCGCGTCCGTCTCGTTTAAGTCTTGTTAACTTAGTGTTCGAAGAATCGGTACACTCGCGTGACGAAGGGCGCGACCCTCGCTGCCCGTTACGCGAACGCGTTGGGACGGCTGCTTGTCCTTGCCACTCACGCCAATCCGGAGGCCGCGCGCCAATGCGCCGAAAACATGCAGTGGCCACTGCTCGACGCCGCCATCGATCACGCGCGCAAGGAGGCCGAAGACCGTCGCCGCTGGGAAGCGAACCAAGCCCAGCTACTCAAGGAGGCCGAAGAGCGCGAGCGCCGCGAGCGACGGGAGGCGGC